CCGACAAAAGATTGAATATTGAATGTGTCTTTACGTTCACATTATCAGTATCGAAGATTAAAACCAGAAACATTCCCTTGTTTGTCATTTCTTGTCTTGCTGTTCACACACATCACGTGACCTCTAGCTTCAATGGCTTGGACGAGTGAAGACTATGGTCTTCATTCAATACAAACCGTGTTCTTTAGAAACCCATATTCAAACAATTGGGTCAACAGTGAAGACCCATGATTGAGTTTTTCCCGCGCATTTTGCACCCGAAATTTCCTCTTCGTTTGTTTTTCCGTCTAGCTAGTTTACAAATAATGTATTTTAGAAGTTGAACTAAACTAATCCATAGACATCTATCAAAGTAATTCTCGCGTTTTAAAACAATTATCACAGCTATTAGTCGTGAGATGATTTAAGTTAATTTATAAGAAGCTTCCAGGAAACAAACAACAAGTGTGTTTGTTGGTATGTTTAGGTTGATCATTAGTTCTCACAAAATTATATCCAGTGCACTAAGCTGGCTGAAGCCAAAGTCGGCATGGTGGTAATCAAGGTTAATTTTTCAACATACATACATTTCTTTACATTTTGAATACAAAAAAGCTAAATTCGGCTAAAATATCTAAGTATAGCTCGAACTACTATAAAATGAGATATGCTAACATTATCAGTAGAAAATATGTAATGTTGATCATGTGGAATGACCAACATTGTGAAGCTATGCTTCTACAGATAAAGTGATCACACAATGAGAATGGAAAATCATGATCATGTAGAATGTCCAACATTGTGAAGCTATGCTTCTACAGATAAAGTGATCACACAATGAGAATGGAAAATCATGATCATGTGGAATGTCCAACATTGTGAAGCTATGCTTCTACAGATAAAGTGTTCACACAATGACAGTGGGCAATCGTGACTATGGAAAAATATCCAACATTGTGAAGCTATACTTCTTTTGGTAAAGTGTTCACACAATGAGAACGGAAAATCATGATTATGTGGAATGTCTAACACTGTGAAGCTATGCTTCTACAGATAAAGTTATCACACAATGACACTGGACAATCGTGATTATGTGAAGCTAAGTATCTACAGATAAAGTATTTACACAATGAGACTGCACTGTTGTCGTTAAGTTATCCAGCATATGGTAAGGTAATGATGGTTCAATAACAAGAAGAATGTCAAGGAAAACGTTGAAAATTTATCTTTGCTCTACAGGTTTAGCAAGCAGACCATACTAGCAATGCTCAGTTTCTCAATGCAACTTGTCTAAGTAATACATACAAGTTATAATTCATCAAAATATTGTATGATAAAATAGAAGACATAGAAGCATCCTAGAAATAGTGCGTGTAGTTACTCGTGTTAAACCATTTTTTTGCTTTAATTAATATAATTAGGTAACTAGTTTAAACTGTTTATCCTCATACTCCCTTTTGTATGTCAGAGAAGACCCTACGGCACCCCTTCTGCATGTTCTGACCCCAAATCCTGGGTGTTTGATCTTCTACTCACTGGTTTGCCACATGTATTATAGCCATTCTTTAAGGTTGCCAGACACTCTAGTCCAACAATTATCCATCTCTAGCCGATACTGAACAATTTTCGCTCTCACACCCTTTTCCTATACCCCCTCCACCCCCCACTTTATCTGAAGTGTACATTAAAGTGGAATACCCACGTGTTAGGCTTCAGGCTACGAAGCAAAGTGCGCATGTCTTTTGTGAAACCTTACTTAAGCTACATAATATTATGTGTTTAAAACTGATGTTAGTCACACAACTAACATAGCTGGTGTTATAATAAACACTGTTAATCAGCGTTGCTAAAGATTAGATACAGAATATCCTGCTCGCTTGTAAAACGTGTCCCATAGTAATGACTAACGTAACAACAAACAGAAAAGGAGAAGTTGGTAAATATTTACACAAAAAATTGTGTATGCAGAATGTAATTATATTTTAATAATAACAACGATTTCTTAAAAAACGTATAACAGGACTCGGATACACTAGTTAACAATTTCAAAATTTAGGTTTTCATTTAGTTTTCATCAAACTACTCTTGTAAGCTAACCTTAACGTTCTTAAGTACACTTCATTCTAGTGAATATTAAGCAAAGAATAAAAGAAATACGAGCTAATGGCTTAATAGTGTTTAACGCAGCTCATGAATTTCATCATGATTTTATCAATAAGTTTTTCTTTGAGGTTACGTCGTCAATGTATTGTAATCACTTGATAGTGTAATTAGTAAATATGTCTTATTGTTTGTGCAAACAGATTTTGCTCTGACACCGCCATTTTTGTTTCCATAATTCTCTACTGTTTGATACAAATAAGAAATTATATAATTCAGTTTATTTACATAAGAAAATTCTCTTCAGCGGACTTTGAACTTTCAAGTCGATCGTTTATTTACACAAGCCACATGACGAACTTAAGGAGAAAATCAAATTCTTTTCATCGCTAGACTTCACGAATAGAAAGACCACAGCAACGACAGGGAGCTTATCTAATATTGGAACGTTTCGGCATATCTATCTTTCATCATCAACGATCAATAATTACATCATAGACGATATCAATTTATACTTAACTGTGTCGATATTTTGTTTTTAGTTCATACATAGAGAGAAAGGGATAATATAAAAAACAAACGGAGACAACAACTATATTAGAAAAACAAAACACAAGTAAAAAATGCCTATGAACATATGGTAATATCATTTAGAACTAGTCACAAACTAATAACTTAGTTCCTCTCTGTTATACAACTAACAGGGAGTACAAAAATAACATACTTATAAATAGCTTGAATATTCTGGCATAAGAATCGTCTAACAAAGAATTATTCATAAAAGAAAGTTTGCAACTATCTACTGAACACTAACCAGAACTTACAACGCTAGAATCCGGGTTTCGATATCCGTGGTGGGCAGAGCACAGATAGCCCATTGTTAAGCTTTGTGCTTAATTACAAACAAACAAACTATTCTAAATAGTGATCCCGGTTTTAAATATATATTGTTCTCTTACTTGTACGCTGTTACTTTTCTCCAATTTCATCTCAGTCTCTCGATGTATATCTACTTAAAACAAAATATGATAGCACAAGTTGATATCGCCTGTGACGTAATTTCAGATCACTGGTAACGGGAGATGTAAATCCAGAAATGTTAGGATATTAAACATGTTATCAATCGTTGCCGTGGTCTCTCTATTCTTGATTAAGTTGGTGTTGTAATTGTTAGCACAAAGCTACCCAATGAGCTTTACGCACTCTGTCCACTACTGAGAATCGAACCCAGGATTTTAGAGTTGGAAGTCAGTAACGCTCCGTTGAACCAACGTGGGACTTATTATTAAATTCCGCTTTCCATCTAATGAATCAACATATTTCAAGATTATTATTTGTTCTTCCCAGTCTGTATTTCACATTTCTGTTTGTTTGTTTATTGTTAAGCACAAAGCTATAAAATGAGCTATCTGGACTCTGCCAACTGAGGGTATCAAAACCCAATTCTTTTTTAGTGTTATAAGCTCTTAGATTTATCGCTGAATCACCAGGGGGAGGGCTAGTTAGAAAAATTGACACACAAACAGGGAAACATGAGACGATAACAATCTACTATTTTGTTCATTGAGTAGAGAAAACGAAAAAATATTTTTTTTTTGATTTTCAGGCATAAAATTGCGCAATGGTTTATCTGTCTATATCCACCGCAGGGATCGAACTCGGAATCCTAGCTTGTAAGCCCTCAAATTGAGCCACGGGGGAAGGGCACAGAGGGACAATGCATCAGTTAAATAGTTAACTAGAGGAATAAATAACTCAAATCAAGAAAAAAGTTAAACCGAATAGGAAAAACGTAGGCCTAATAGAAATATCAAAAACTATTTAAAATATAAAACTTAGAAAGATAACATAAAAATATGAAAGAGACCTTTAAATAAAAAAACAGAACGTAAAAGTACGATGAAAAGTTACTTTAATAAAGACAAACTAATACTAATCAACTATCGACGTATACATCCATTAGAAGATGCTTCAAGTGAATAAGAGAAACGTAAAACTATTAGAATACGCTTCAAATCAATTACGCCAAACGTAAAAACAATATAATATAATTCAAACAAATCAGTCGAAACGTAAAACTCTTAGAAGACACCTGAAATCTGTTAATTAAGCGGAACTTAAAATTATTAAAGACATTTTAAGACAAACAGATGAAACATAATGTATACAAGAAGCTGAAAATAGTTAGGTTTAACATTAAAGTTAAATACAGAAGTGTTAAATGTTTGCATAACACAACTTAAAGTTATACTCAATATAATTACACATATATTTATCTCTGTTGTTCTTTTTCTATACGAAAATGATGCCATTACTTTAAGTATCTAGTGAGATGACATGACAGTATATCCTCTCTCGTGACAATGAATGAAAACCGGAAGTTAAGCAAATAAAATAATTATATATGGTTATGGAAGAGTACGAGTAAATGAACGACACTGAAAGGAATTCATACAGACAGCACAAAAGGAAAGATGACACATGTGCGTAAGTGAATATGTGCGTTTATACTAGCTGTTTATACAAAGAAATATATTCTTTAATTTTTTTAAAGAACTCGAAATGATGTAGAAAAGAATCAAGTTTTTTTTAATACTATATAGTTTTAGAACTGGTTACTTTTAACCCATCTTGAGCTTAAATCAGAAAACTACAAATGTGAATAACTTTTCTCACGTTTAACATTAACATAAATGCAACAATGAAACAAGTTATGTTATTGGCTGTATTAGTAACACGTGACAATATCGTACAACGCACAAAATACCAATTAATCCTTTAACCCAAAGTTAAATGTTAGTTCACGAAATCCAAAAATCAGAGAAATTTGAAAGATTCCTTGCACACATGTTAACAAGAAAACACTTGAGTTCAACTGAAGTTTAGATAGATGACCCGACAAGTGCCTTAAAACATCTTACCTTATACTGAATTATTTGGAGGAGTGTTCCAGCTGGTAGTAAGAAACCTTCATGGAATTTCTTGAAGTCTCCCAGGAATTGACAAAGAAGTATGTCACGCGCTTGTCGCACGAGCTGGGTCTTTACGGAATTGAAAGGTTGGTAGATGGCGCTGAATGTTGATTCAGTCAATGCAGCGACATCACTTGGTCTCTACATAACGGAGGAAATTACAGCAATCAGTTTCATTGTGATATACAACAGAATGTAAAAACTGAAATGGAAACAGCTAACAAGAAAAAAATTGACAGTTTTATATGTTACTTGTTGTACTGGTTAAAAAATTATTGCTGGTGTGGAGGTTAAGTTGGCTCATTGGATGAAAAAGTGGCTGGATGGAAGAAAACAGAGGGTCGTTATAAATGTAACAAAAGGGGGATCTTGGGACTCAGTGTTAGGATCATTGCTCTTTTTGATTTATATAGTGACATATATGAAGAAATGGTGAATAAATTATTTAAATTTGCTGCTGGTATTAAAATTGTGGATGTTGCTGGCTGTGAAGATTCTACTGCTGCTGCTTTACAAAAAGGATTGGATTATTTGACGAATAAATACCAGATGGCTTTTAACTATAATGGTTAAATCTCTGATACTATTTTCACTTGAAAAAAGAGGAGTTTGTGGGGATATAACAGGATTGATTAAGGTTCTTAAAGGAATTGATAGTGTTGATATATCATTTTTTTTCGTACTTAATGGTGCGAATGGTGGACTAAGGGACACAAGTATAAATTTTGGCAGAGCAGAAGTCATCTTTAATTAAGACGTCTTTATTTTTGTAACAGGGTGGTGGTTAGCTTTTGGAATGGTTCGCCTTTAGATGTGGTGGATGTAGTTAATTTAGGCGAGTTTAAGGGAAGTCTTAATAAATATTAGAATGATAAGGACTGGTTTTGAGTATATTTTTGTCTTTAATCTATGTATAGGTATATATTTTCATGTATTTGGTAAGACATTTATTCAGTTACCTAGTGATTCGGAACATCCCAATATGATTCGAAAGCAACTCCTTCAGTTACCCAGTGATTTGGGATAGCCTCATGTATTTGGGAAATACCGATTTCAGTTACCCAGTGATTTGGAATAGCCTCATGTATTTGGAAAATAACTCCTTCAGTTACCCAGTGATTTCGAATAGCCTCATGTATTTGGGAAATACCGATTTCAGTTACCCAGTGATTTGGAATAGCCTCATGTATTTGGGAAATAACTCTTTCAGTTATAGTGATTTGGAATAGCCTCATGTATTTGGGAAATACCGATTTCAGTTACCCAGTGATTCCAAAGATCTACAAGTAACTGGTAGATAAATCATTTATCTATCGATTGGTTAGGAACATATACTTGTACCTGCCAAGTAAACTATCCTTATAAATTTGGCAAAACTTAGTGATTGAGAATACCGTATGTAGTTGTAAGAAACTTATTCCAATTATTTAGCGATTTCTACATAATACGCTTTTGTATTTGAAAGTAATTCATTCATTTACTCAATGATTCAGAATATTTTTATGCATTTAGCAAATAGCTCATTGAGTTACTCGGTGATTCATAACATCCCCAACTATTTCATAAGTAATTCATTCAGTTACCTAGTGATTTACAAAAAGTTGTTAATTATATATCTATTTACAGATAAGTATGTACGTCAGCATGTGCCTGTATTTGTGGAAAAATGTTTTATATTCCACTTTAAAAGGTTGTGTGCATTGTTGGTCCACAACGATTAAAATATTCTTCCCACTAAGAAGTGCTAGAGTAACAGTAATTGTTTCACTTAGCAAATGTAAGATAAAAACTTACAAATTTCAATAATAAGCGGAAATTAATGAAAGTCATGTTGATTTCTATTTCATGTTATGTTTGTGTGATTAAAATTATGAACTGATTATTGTTATCACATAACAGAAGCAATGTTTTCAATATATTGAAAGAGAAAACAATTTCGCAAACAGTGTGTGTGGGTTATTCGTCATATGTCAGAAGGAGAGAATTTTCTCTTAATTTGCAATTTATCTACTGCCCTAATGACCAGGTAGAATTGAAAATAGTATTACTTGTTAGTCTTATGTAATGTGAATTGTATATTTACCTCCGCCACCGAAGGTTATGTTTTCGGCCATGCATGTGTGTGTGTGTGTGTGTGTTTTTGTGTATTTTTCAGCAAGATTTCTCAAAAACGGCAGAATGGATTTAAACGAACGTTGGTAGATATTTGGATTATGGCCAAGGTCAAATACCAAGGTCACGAAAATCCAAAAAATCTCTATCTGTTAACACTGGGAACCAATTTTTCACACTATTTTTGCTCTACAACTCAGTCAAAAATGATCGGATTTTGATGAAATTTGGTGAAAATGTGTAGAATATTATCTATCCCTCATTGTCCTGCCAAAATGGTCTATGTCTGTTGTTTTTTTGTTTGTTTTTTAAGAGCTGAATATGATTAATGCTGCGTGGCGAAGGTTATTTGCTCCACTGAGTGTCTCTCTTGTTTTGTAATGGTATTTACCAAAGATAACCTTGTCATATACATCATACAAACATCTTCCGAGATGTTATCTTCCTTAACAGATAGACATAAGAATGTACTCGCCTTTCTCCCCATATATGTGTATGGATATATCGAGAGTTTGTTGATGTACATAGTGTTCCTATTGAAAGATAGACGCATCTGAGCATCAAAGTTAAAATATGTATAAGAGAATAAAGAGTAAGGATCTCTACTCTCGATTAGTCCCTTCTCCGAGATGTAGAGTGGGTTCTGCAATCTGAGTCTTTCTTCTCCGAGATGTAGATCGGGTTATGTAATCTGAGCTCCCCTTCTCCGAAATGTAGAGTGGGTTCTGCAATCTGAGTCTTTCTTCTCCGAGATGTAGATCGGGTTATGTAATCTAAATTCCTTTCTCCGAGTTGTATAGTGGGTTCTGCAATCTAAATTCCATCTTCTGAGATGTGAAGTGGGTTCTGCAATCTGAATCCCTATCTCCGAGTTGTAGAGTGGGTTTCCAACCTGAGCTCCCCTTCTCCGAGTTGTAGAGTGGGTTATGCAATCTGAGCTCCCTTCTCCGAGTTGTAGAGTGGGTTATGCAATCTGAGCTCCCTTTCTCCGAGTTGTAGTGTGAGTTCTGCAATCTAAATTCCCTCTTCTAAGATGTAAAGTGGGTTATACAATCTGAGCACCCCTTCTCCGAGATGTAGAGTGGGTTTTGCCATCTTTTCTATAATATTTACTTTAGTGTGAGCATATTACTGCTTTGCTTGCGTAGATGTAGCTATAAACTCTTAAACCTTTTTGGTTAAAACATCTCTATATATATCTATATACATACCTATATGCACATATATATATATATATATATATATATATATATATATATACG